TCAATAGAGACTGAGGACTTTCTCGCAGCTTTTGTTGTTAAAACCGGGGCGGAAATAATTAAGACAGTGTCATAAACCTGCATTGTAGAACCAATCCAAACTCTTTAGTGCGGTGACGTGCAGAAGTATTGTGCATGTAAACACTGTCATACCATATAAAAGCTGCTCGGGACATCCATTTGAAATGTTTTAAAAAGCCAAATATGTTTGTATTTGTCACAACGTTTGATAAAGTATATAGGTATCAATTTGAGATGTCATATAAATCTAATCAAACTGTCCTTGTGACAAAATGATTCACTGCATCTCCAGTTTGTTTCACTTAGGAGGAGAACAGGGAGAGCATTGTTTCAGGTAAGGCGTGTGCTTCAAGTAGGAGGCGTGCGTTTGTTAGCGGCCGTTCCCGCTGTCATTCAAACAACTACTCTGCATTTAGAAATCCCCAGACATTAGGCAAGAGATCGACGGTCGTCTGTTATCGCTAGAGACTATATAATAAGACTATTTAAAGGGAGACCTGGCCATAAGGGCAGCGTAAAAATATTGTTACAACAATAAATAAAAAACAACAAAAATAGTCACAAACTACAAACGAATATTCAGTTAATCTAACAAACAAAAATGTCACTTTAAGACTTATTGTTATTTCTGTTAGATGACTTACAACCACCGGTACGGCTGCATCAATCTCATCCCCACTTTGTCTCTTTTTTCTGTTGTTATTTTTTTATGGATGTAGCTGACTAACTATGTTGTATGACGTTGAATGGTCAGTTGTTTACTCAAATGGTGGGAAGAGCGATCAATGAGCAGGACAATGTGGCTGGTGATTCAGGATAACCAGACTAATGCAACAGGACCAGTTTGTGAATATATGGAAAAACAAATTAAATGTTTAGTGAATCAGTCACCATCCATCCATCACGGTACCACAAAACTCTACTTACTGAGTTTTGTTTGAACATTATTCACTTAGATTTTTGTATATTTTCCTACATTATCATAATTTTCATTTAATATAATATCAGCTCTGGTATCTGAGACAGGTACAATTACTATTTACAGAGTATAAATACAAAGAACTTGTATTATTATCAATATTGATGCTATAAATAACCCAATCTGTAAACTAATGTGACTGTGTGAGTCTCACCTCTTCATGTTGCTGAGGTGCTGAGGCTCCCTGTAGGGAACCGGTATCAGGGTCTTGTGTGAGCGGGGCAGCGGAGGAGGTGGGGGACCTATGGAGGCCCAGCGCTGCGGGTTGGGGGCGCTGTGGAGCCCTGGAGGAATGGGTGGGCTGTCCCAACGCCACGTGGGGCGAGGGGCGGGCCGGTAGCCTGCTGCCAGAGGCTCAGGTTCTGGCTTCTGCTCCATGGTCTTCATCTCATACTCCTCTGTGCAGCCCCTAAAGAGACAGAGGGAGAAAGTCAGTTAGGAAGAAGATGAGAGGTAGTGATCTTCTATCAACACAGAAACACAAACACTCAAGTAAAATGTTCTCATAGTAGCCTCTAGCTCGATATCCCGCACGCATCTTTTACACAACATCATTACTTTATTCACACAGCCTATTACAGGTGGCATCAAATATGCATAGAGGATGTATTCAAGACGAGACAAATGCCGAGAGGAAGAGAGAGAAGGAGATGAGAGGGGGAGGGGGGTGAAAATTCACTGTGAGGGAGAAAAAAACACATCACAGCAAAGATTGAAATAAGAGAGACACAGAGTGTGATGTGTCCCTTAAAGAGCCGGTTCACACAAATTAGAGCTGCAAGTAACGTTTCTTGTCAGAACATTTCTACCAGGGTGATGTCGTTAAATTAAAAGTATTGTTTTGTGGTTGTGACCAACCCAAAGATATTAGTTTACTGTCACTGAACACAAGAAAATATTCCTATTTGCGAAGCCAAAACCCCTGATTTCTTTCAGCATTTGTGCTTAAAATTGTCTTAAAACAATTAATTCACTGGCAAACATAATAATACGGGACTATTTCTTCATTAATAAACAGTAAGAGTTAAAACTGTACACAGTGAACACTATGGATAATAATAATAACAATAATAATAATAATAACAATAACAATAATATTAATAATAACAATGTGCTGTAAAAAAAAAAAAAGAAAAATGCTGTGAGCAAAACAAATGAAATTACATTTACCTCAATTGAATTGTGATGGTGACAGATTATAAACCTGAGTAAATAACACTAAAACTACCTGCATGGATAGATACTGCTGACACCAGGGTGAACTTTAACCTGGATTAATCCTACAGCCTGGTCCCTCCATCTACTGTGTAAACACCATACTAGTAAACAGAATATTTAACAAAAGAATAACAACAGTGCACAATCACACTCAATAAACGTGAACACAACACGTGGTCCAGGACATTCTGATCAACCAAGAAACACTACTAACTCAATCAATATCCATACCGTTACGTAATAGTAGTACAAACCTTAGAGAGAACAGAGCCCACATATGTTGACATGCAGTGTTTCTTCCATCACACAGCTGGAGCGCCCCATCACACACGCGGTCAAACACACTACAACCTCACGCCTTTTCTCCACAGCGTCCGTCCATCTTGCACGACGGAGTCAGAGCAGCAAAGGAAAAACACTCCCAACTCTCTCTTTCTCTTTCTGCCTCTCTTCCACCCACTTCTCTCACTCTCTGTGGTGTTGAAACACGTCCTCCTCACCGAGCGCGTCTCTGCCTCTCCAACTCAATACACTCAACCCTGCCTTTCTCTCTCTCTCTCTCTCTCTCACTCTCTATCCCTCCTCCTTTTCCATCCTTTTCATTCGCACAGGGCATGCATTTTTAATTAATCACTTCCACTTATTTATTTATTTATTTTTTGTGGTCTTTTTTTTTTTTTTTTCTCCCCCTCTGCAGATTCCAGGCCTTAATCTCATGCAATCTGCTTGCCTGGCACACAAACGAGTCAGAGAGAGAGAGAGAGAGCGAGAAAGGGGGGGAGAGAGAAATACAAGACTCTAATTAATAGCTGCTTCTTGAGAGTGTGTGTTAGTGTGTGTGTGTGTTAGTGTGTGTGTGTGTGTGTGTGTGTGTCAAAGGGATTTAACTTGGTGTAATTAAACTGCCTCCAACATTAAAGAAATCTAACCACTGTGCGATCACACAGCCAGCCACAATTACTGTATTTAAGAGCCCTGGTTTTCAGTCAGAAACACACACACATACACACACATACACACTGTGGTTATTCCTTCACCTCCGTAACCGTTCTGTAACACCACATCAGCGTCTCATAAGGCCTCGTTATTCTGTTCTTTGTCAAGGCCGTATGTGTAGATGAAATGTTGGAGAAGGATGACGGCGGGGAGAAGAAATAGATTGGGGGAGGAGAGGAAACGAGGTGACGGTACGCTGAACGAGATGAGATATGAAGGATGGAGGAACAAAGAATGGCAGATTTTAGTTAATTCACATTAAAACAAATGCTTCTTTCTTTTTGTATCCATACCTCATTTCCTCTTGAGCTACACATCGTTCTTTCTCTCTTGTTTCGCTCGCTTCCTCTTTTCACACACTCCCACACAAAATCCTCTCAGAACATTGGAGTCTAGCCACTATCTCACCCATGCCTTTGTGTGTTTGGAGTGAAGAGCATCCTGCACTCACTCTAGCTCGCTCTTGTCCTTCCACTACTGCCTGCTAACGCTCGGCGCGCTCTCCTGTGCTGTCACCCTACTGCCTCAACATCTGTATCCCCCACAGCTGTTTTAAAATGAATCACTCATTAGTTTAGCTTCAAAGAGATACAACACGCAGACTTTAACGCACCTGCGAGGCCCCCCTTCTTCGTACGGAGGAATGATGACCACTTTGACCGTGACCGACGTCCTCAGCAGGTCGATCATCTGCTCGTGAGTCAGCGTCACCGCGGCCACCTTGCAGATCTCCACTAACCGACTGCCCTGTCTCAGTCCCGCCTGCCAGGCAAAGCCATACTCCTCCACCTGCACGAGAAAACCACACACACACACACAAAAAGAAGCTAGTTATGTACAGCCAACAATCTTCAGAGATGAGTATTTCAGTACGAGATCTGGTGTGGCAGATGGTAATCTGACGGTACCTCGGCCACAGTGCCATCCAGGCGAACATGGAAGCCCAGTTGTCCCAGTCCGTTTCTTCTCAGAGTCATATCCACCGTCTCACATCCTACTGTCAAAGACTGGACAAGGAGAGGACATGATGTGAATAAAAAAAGAAGAGATTTACAGTATTATTATGTTTATATTAAAATAGTCTCTATGTATCATCGAAACATCATAAAAACAGGCTTGACGGCTGTTAAATCCTGAATCTTGATTCTGGAAACTTCCCTTCTCTAATATGCATTTATTTGGTATTTTTAGAAAGATTAACTCATTTTTTAAATATTCAGTTTTCTCTAGGATTAACACAAAGCTTGCTGGAGTCCAGGAAATCTCCCAGCGTTTCATTCATTTAATTTCATAAAAATTTCCAGGGATTATCACAATATGAAATTACTCATCAGCCAGTGCTGTTGTACAAATTCATTGACAAAGTAATATATCTATATATATCTGCATGCTATATAATATTTGTGCTCATAAACTAATATGAATGTAATAGTTATAAGCTTTGAGCATTAAAAAAACATTATCTACAACTCATGGTTTTATCAAATAGGACCAGTAAAGAGATGACAGGAAAAATATATTTAATTGTTTCTGCTGACCAGTTAAGTTGCAGTTTACATCCATGTCTCATGGTGATTCATGGTGATTAGTTTCATGGAAGAGGAGTTTGTGCTTCTACAATAGGATTCTCAGTGGAGAGCCAAACCCAAACATCCAGTGAACATATTCCAAAAAACATGGAGGTGTATCTCCTCTTATTTACACAACATAATATTTAAATTTAACTTATTTACTTACCTGACTTTAAATTTTTAATGTGTATTTTTGGGCTAAACAAAAGTAATCACCATATTGATGGTACATACTCGTGATTTTAGTGAATATACATTTTTAAACTGATTGATGAAGGATTATCATAACTGTATTAACTGAACAGGTGCATGTACTTTAGAGTACAGAGAGAGTATAAAGAGTATAGCTATACTGAATGTAGTGCTTCTGTTTTCTCCTGGACTTTTTATATTCAAAGCCTCTCCATGAGCTGTAGGTGAAACTCACAGGATCACGATTAGTTAGGCACGCTCCAATATGTTGTTTCTAGTCTTCTAGTCAACATGTGAAATCTTAAATCGGCCAATTTATTCTTAAATTATAGTCACAGTGACCTTTGACCTTTTAGTCTAAAGTGTCACCAACCAACTGTGAAATATGGTCACATCCTCCCGTTCAGTTATGGTGTTGAGTAACAGCCAAAAAAGTTGACCTTTGACCCTTTCTATGAAAAATATGTCATCACTTGGTTACCACATCAGTTCTTGAGTTACAGCCAACACAAGTGTAGTTTTGAGGTCACAGAGACCACTACCACCGGCGGAGGCATAAAAGTGAGCTTTGCAAATATTTGAGGAGGAAGGACTTCAAGGATTCACACAATGTGTTCTGGTGAGAAACACTGAATGTAAATATAACTGTTTGTTTACAAGAACTCTGCACAGCACACCTTTAAGGTCTAGTGATCCCTTCACTATGATCCCAAATACAACACGAGGTACGTTCGTCAAAGGCAACACCGATTTAAATGCTCTGCTCTGGTCTGGTCACCATCCCTCTACACTTGAACTAAAACACGCTCTCTCACCTTTAATCTCTGCACCACCTCCCTGATGTCCTGTGCGCAGCCCTCTGGTACCCGCACTGCGATGTGGTCTCCTCTGCCGTAGAAGATCTTCAGCGCCAGCCGCTCCGGCGTCCAGCCGATCACGTCCGCACAGAAGCAGTTAAACACCACCTCTTTGGTGGAACAATCTGTCAGGAGGATGTATTCTGCTGACAAACCCAAGGCACAGGGGAGCTCTGTCCCGCCTCCACTGAAGTCCTGGGCTAGGACCCTCCAGGCGACGGCCCCCGCGGCTCCCAGCTCCGCTCCCTCTCTTGCCTTGGAGCGCTCACGTTTTTTGGACGCCAGGGAGATGAGATTGTTAAGCTTGCCGGCTGAGTCGAGCGGCGTGCTGCTGACGTAGTTCTCAGCCAGGTCGCGCAGGTACTCCTGCCGCGTTCGTGTCGCCATGGTGTGGAACTTCTCAGACTTGTGCGCTGCATTTTCTGCATTGATAATTTTGGCTAGAAGGAAGTTACGAAAGGTTTCTGGGTCACGGAAGGTGACACCGCTGGGGATGGGTGGGCCGAAGGGAGGCACATCCTTCATTCTTGTCACAGCAACACTGAAAGAAAAAGGCGAAACGGGCAGAATTTGAAGTGTGAGAAGCTATTTTTAACATAGTTGTGTGTATATGAACATGTGCTTTCTCTGTTCTCAACATTTACCTGTAACAGGTGTTTTCAGAGCAGGGGTTGTGCACACGGACGATAACAAAGACGTGCTGGAAGTGTGAGCGGATATTCTGAGGGGTGAAAGGCAACGCTCCCGGCTCCTGAAAGATTATGGTGACAATGTCGTTCCCTATGTGCCTTTTTCTCAAGAGCTGAGGAAGAGATGAAAAATGACAAATTAATAAAATGAGCTAACATAACTGGCGTAGACACAACTGACTCAGTCAACGATGAAGTCTGACAAGGGAAATGAAAGATTGAGACGCTCACTCACTACTAGACACCAAACAACAGCTCTTTATGTAATTTGTTTTTCGGATTCTGTGTGGGCTATTTGTGTCTGTGTGTGTGTGTGTGTGTGTGTGTGTGTGTGTGTGCTGGTCTGTCCGTCTATCTGTGTTCGTGTAGGAAATGTGGCACAGAGTCCAGGCTGTGTCTGTGGTGCTGTGCTTGCCAATCCTCTCTTCATCTGCAGAGGGAAGTGTGAAAGTACCAATTATGTAATCCAGCCCACTGTTTGGCCACAGATTCTCAAGCATGGTGCCACAGGAGCATCCTTCCCTCGTGCTCAGACTGCAGTTATTAACATTTGAATTACTGTGTTTGATGTAGTGAGTAACTATACTAACTAAAATTGTTAGAATTGATCATTTGGAGAAAATAAGTTTGTTTTATTCATCAAGATCTTGACTTTGTTCTATTTTAGCTACAACCCTAAATAACTAAATAGTGCTGATATGAAACAATGAGGACATTTCATCATTGGTCCTACAAGATGCAGCTTGTGCTCTCCTTTCCTTCTCTCCAGAGTATAAGAGCCTTCGCACTTTCTATATTTATTCTACTTAATTCTTCCTCCCCTTGCTCATCCGTTGCAGTTTTTTTATAATGCCGGATGCTGCCACCTAGAGGTTCTTTTGAGCAAGTAAACCTCTCTGCTGCTGCAGTCTTTAAACCTCTGGATGGAGTTATTGTGCCATTTATAAAATTACACTTTCTGAGAGTTGATACTAATATGAAGTGTTGAAACACACTTTAAATATTCTCAATTACTTGTTTACTCCCATTTACAAAGATGTTAACAAGATTATGTATATGTCCAAAAAAAACGCTTGTTCCCAATAACAAACAATAGATTGCTGTCGGTATGGTGATTAAAGTATAGTTCTCCAATTCACAACATTCATATATTACATTTTTTAATGTTTGAGGAAGAACAAATAACTTCCCCATCGCCTGCACTGTTCTGCAGTGATGCGCTGACACAATCCTGAGCACCCACAGGACCTGTCTGAGCGCATGTGTGAGCCCTGTGAGCCTCTCACGCAAACACTTATGCAAACTATTAAAAATACCCACACGCAAAATCTTACACACAGGTCACTCACACACAGCCCACGCTGCAAACACACAGCACCCAGGAGGATGTGTAGGAAGGCAGCTTTATTTAAAGAAGTTTAAAAAAAAAAAAAGAGGGAGAAAATAAAGAAATTCTCACTACTGAACCCCACCCATCTCTGATCCAGTTAAAGAATGAGAGGCAGAGAGAGGGCAGAAGAAGAAGCCTGAGAGAAAGAGAGGACAGAGAAGCCAAAACACAGAAAACAAAGACTATAAAAACACAAGAGGCTGAATAAAAGAGGAAAGAGACTCTAAATGAAGAGGGCGACACAAGTCACAAGTTTCCATTTGATGAATTCTTGCTGTGGTTTACGACCCGGAGCAAACGACAGAGGCTTTAACCAACAACCACAGACAGACTTTGAAAGGCTTTGGGTGAGGAAGGACAGTCATGGCTGTATTTTTCAGCTGTACACACCAAACACACAGGCTGATGTGATGATGCAGGATTTAGGTAGTGGCGCTCTTACCTGCTGGGGGTTGTTGGGCATGTACGGCAGCATGGTGGACACATGGAACATGACCTCGTAGCCTTGGTAGGTGGTGTACAGGGAGTGGGTGCCCGTAGAGTCCGCTGGAGGAAGGAGGAGAAGGAAGATAGTTTAATTTTATGTCCAAAGTTGTTCACCGACAGATGAAACTGGGAATTAGAGAAAAACACGTCCTGGTTCAAACAGATGTTTTTTCCAGGGATCATAAGGACTCACAGCTGGAGTTATGAGGACACTTTGCTATTAATTAGAACTTTTCAGACACTGCTGGCTTCTTCTGTCTGTTAACGAAATAGATTTTGGTCTCAAGGTGGTTAAAAATCGTATTATTGTGATTATTTTT